TTGCTGAAGTCAAGTTTAAGTGATAAATTTGAACCTAAATATTCAATGCAAACACTGTGACCTAAGAAGAAAGTCTGGATAATTGAGAAGTTTGGATAATGCAGGACCCAATAATCAAGGGTTGGCTAATTGTATAAGCTCTATTAGACTATAACTATGTCTCTCTTTTTGCAAGTTCTCTGATCCCCTGGGGAAGACATGGAAGAGGATAATCCATCAACAGATGGTAGACAGTAAGAAGACAGAAGCCCAGGAATGTTGTAACAAGTAGCAGAAATCCCATCCAAGGCTTTTATATTAGCCAGATGGGCATCCAGGCATCCTCTGGATGGCCACTTATGTTTTATTTTTCATATGTTGCCTTATAAATTGTTCATTTAAGCAGGCCCTATAGCACATTTTGGATGCCCAGTTTTCTAATCCTGGCTGAAAGCCTGAATCCCACAATAGTTGTAGCCTCATAATGCTCAAGGAGCACTGAGCAATAAATAATTAAAAGCAGCTTTGCAACAAAAATGTGTCACATTCATTTCAGTCGATAATATCATTTAGTTTGTACAATACAAACTCACCAGCATCAGCTTCCTTAGTTACTATCTCCACCACATCAAAGCGATCAATTGCTTTGATGCTTTTGAGTAAATCACCTATGTTTAGATCAGGCTTCCATTTAGCAAGCCACTGAAACATCATCTTGGTGGGACTCTTTGCTTTTTCTTTAGAAGTGTCAAATGCACTGTAGGTCTCGGGAGGGATCTTCAGTCTGTATGCCAGATTACGCCAGTTCTTGACAGCTCTGATCTCTTTGTTGAGACGTTCTCCAATATCTGCAAGGAGTTCTGAGCCATCCACAAGTACATTTTTTATCAACCATGATCCTGTTGTTAGGAAAACTGTGATTACTTTTCTGTTATAGCACATATACATGTACCCCATATCCAAAACGATTGTTATTTGAAATTTTTTCAGCCGTGATACATGTATAATGTACATTAGTTTGGTTCAAAATAAGACAGAACCACATTTTCTATTTCGCCATGCAAGTTGGAATCTACTCCTAGGAGCCATTACAACACCATAACAAAAAAAGACAGGGTTCTGTCAACTTCACTACACTCATTTTAGGTCCAAAGGATTTTGACATCATCTGAAATCATAGTCAAAACCCTGTACCTCCTTATACTGCTATTACTTTGTTTTCTTTACAAAACAATAACCTTGAATGTCTTGTTTGTCCAGCAAATTAACCAGATCCTTCCTCTCCATTCCTTGAAAGTAACTTCGCAGTTGATCCATAGTCAAATCATGAAGCCCCTCTGCTGTTCGCATGTACGTAAACAGTGCCCCCGTTGGTCCAGAACCACGCAATCCGAACTGCTCTGTCTTCTGTTTTCTGATGCCAAACTCTGTTGCCAGTGACCTCCAGTTACCAATTGTTCTAGATTCCATGTCAAGTTTGGGCGAGAGTAACTTAATGAACTTTGGCTCCCCAGAAATGAGGTCACTCACTTTCATGGCATCTTTGAATCCACCTGCATGGATTTAAAAATACTATTACATGTATATTGTGGTTCAAAATTACCCTTGGTACAATTTGGTGTGTTCCATTGTTTCCATATATTATCATAATTATATAATTTATTACATACCACTGACAATAAAGGATAATACCAAATTATACCAAGGGTAAAATTGAACAACACATATCAAGGGTTTCAAAGTGCCGGGCACCAGGCAAATTGACCAGCTGTGAGGATGATTTTGCCTACCTAGTTTTACCATCAGTGGAAAGTTTTTCTTTCAAAGAAGTTCAGTTCTAATAGTTTTGCCTGCCTGTGAAAACCAGTTGCCCTCCTGCTAAACATGTTGGTGAAACCCCTGAACATAGATAGCACCTTGTCTTGCAATTCTTGCAAGTCTTGACTTTTCCCAAAGTTAAATTTGAATGTTGAAGAAATGGTGTTTCCTGTTTATGGTCAATTCTTACAAGAAACAAAGATTTTCATAGTGCAATTTGTATGGGTCAAGTAGAAGAACTTAATTATCCAATATGTCAGTTATTTGGAATATTCAACACCAAAGAGATGTGGTTTTCTCCCAACTAAATAATATCTCAATTTCAACTCAATCTGTGGTCCATATGGGGAAACAACATCAGGAAACAGATTAACAGTTATGGATCTAGCACAGCAAGACTGCTACTAAGAATATTCAAGGGTTTCTATCCCATCACGGTCATGAGTAAGTTTGTTAACAAGATATTAACATGTATTACATACATACGCACTTTAATACTTTATTTATTTACTGAGGGTAGCACCTAATAGTGTACAACACTAATAAACTTGTGGCCCTCAATGTAAATTAACTTTATTATATGCTAAAATATCACTACACAGTACATAATTATACATACATAGAGCAATATATTGTTTAAAGATATGCACCTTTTTCTATGTCAGCGATCACATCATTGCGGTGTATGAGCTTGAGTTTCCCCTTTAACTCTATTACTTTCAAATCTTGATTCCAAAAATCACTAAGATAGTTGAATAGGTCCTCAGTTGGGCTGTGTTCTGTGTATACGTCAAACTGATTCCTTTCTTCAGGTGGCACATCCATAACATATGCCAAGTGTTTCCAACACTTAATAACTCTACTCTCACGATCCAAATACTTTGAAAGTTTTTCCAGAAATAGACTGTTATCTGTCACCACTTCTGAAATTAGCTGATCAGTAACTAAAAAGGGGAAAACAAACATTCACCATTATTTTATTCTTGTCTACTAATCATTGCTGCACATTTTTATGCATTATCTCTTCATTGTTGTAGCTATTGGCTAAAATCATACAATCAGTGCTTGTTACTGTAGTATTTAGTGCTCTATAAAGAGCTTTGCATGGTGTTTCTGTGGATTAACAAAATCATAATTACGATGTGTTTTTCTAGTAATTACATGTACCCACTAACTCAATCAATGAAAATAAACAACAGACTACAGTATACATTGTGTATGTCAATGTATATACCTTAGCACATGATTCCTGTACCTAGGAAAATAATAACTCCCTAGGAGAATGGTAGCGTTTAAATGTTTGAATGAATTTGAAAACAGGATATTAATTTTTCTCAGTTGTGGCCTATATCAAAATGCTTCATGGCAGATTATCTCGCAAACCACATCTTTTGATTTTGATTTTGCCCCTCAATCTTTGAGGTTTAAGAAAAAACAAAAATAACAGTCATGAAAGAAGTGCCTACTGAATTTTGCACTTGATGTAAAACACCCTATTATTCCTACCTTTCAGGTTTTCTGTATCATCATCTTTTGTAGACTTTGTATATTCTACACCTGAGACAATCTGCATTGGTGTTGGAGCACCAGATTCTATCTTGGATGGAAGAGTTGGTGGGATGGATTGATTTGAGGAGAAATGCTCAGCCCTTGTCTCATCTGGCTCACTGGTTATGTCATCTCCTGTACTTGGTGTTTTCTTCTGAGTTGAGACCATACCTGGGACAGTTTGACTTGGGCACAAGGCATGTTTAGGCACCACGCCAGATTGAGCACAAACACCAGAAATATTTTCAGGAGTTTCAACATTATCAGAAACATTACTAGGAACATTGACAAGAACAACACCAGGGATATCATCACTAACATTAGTACGGACGTCAACAGGAGTATTCCTAGAGTTGTCAATAGGAACAGCACCAAGAACCTCACCAGGAACATTACCAACAGCATTTCCTGTAGCATCACCAGTGCTCATACCTGACTTGACTAGCTCAGGATCAGCAGTTGTCTTGTTTTGTTCCCCTGTGACATGATTACCACAGACCTTATCAGATTTATTGCCTGTGACATGATCACTCATCAAACTAGAGTCGCCAAAGGCACCAACTGAATCCTCTCCATTCCATAAAGTACATCTTACATTACCTTGTATGGCTTCATTAGGTGAAACTTGATTTATATTACCTGCATTTTCGGCATCACCTGGACAGTCAGCATTCAATTCACCATTATTACAATCATGTGATGTTGTACCATGTTGCTTTGCTAAATCTTTTGCCACATCTCTTCTCCTTGACTGTTCCTGGTGAAACAGTTCTGGTCCTTTTTGTTGTACATCACCATTTCCACCATCACCTTGACAGTCAACATTCAATTCACCATTATCACTATCATGTGATGTTGTACCACATTGCCTTGCTAAATCTTTCACTATAACTCTTCTCCTTGACCAGTCCTGTTGAAACAGCTCTGATCCTTTTTGTTGTAGATCACCATTTTCCAACTCTGACTGCTCTCGTGGTTGGTCATCAACAAGACCAGTGCCTTCCTTTAGAAGGTCTTTTTTCTTTTTCTTCTCTGCCTTGCCATGGCCATTTCCCATTTGATTGCACACACTCATGGATGCAGTGTTAAACTGTTCGCATTTTCAAGTGTTCATCTAAAATTGAAAGTAGAGTTGATTTCTACCGTTTGCACGTAAGTTTAAATTATCCTGTTTAGAGGCTTAAACTGCGTGCGTAGAACAACTTAACAATAATGAAGATAAATCCAGGCGGAACAAATTCCTGTACTACTGTGTTGTATTACACAACAAGTGCTTTTATAAGCAACTCTCTATATATATTAACGAAGATAAAGAAGTGGACATGAACAAATTACGCCGGAAGTACATGCATAGGTGCACAGAATCAAATACTTGAGATGCATAAATCGCAAGGGAATTTTTTCTTGACTTCGAAAACTTGCATTGGCTCATTCATCCTGTGGAAGTAAGCACAAGTACTTGGATAATTATTTGTATTACTTCTCTGCAAACTTACCTCCTCGTTTGGCATCACATCTTTACAAAATATACTGAGTTTAGCACTGTATCAATAACTGACTACACATCGAAGCGGTCGCATCGACATTCCGCTAGCTTGGTAACCATGCGCGCTGGCAGAGAACTGTCTGGGCACGATCAGAACTGCTGTTCCTTACTGGGCTCCGTAACCCTCCGTAAGTAGGGTTTTGATGCAATGTACATGTATTTACCCCGATTTTCTAAAATGTCACTGTTTTGAAACCACGTGCGTTTAATTAACGTCTAGCGTAACCCATTTAAGTGCCAAATTTGGTCTTAGTGGTGATGTTTGATGCGCTAGAGCCAGCTCACTTGAAGGCGTTGGTTGGTTGCGATGGCGAGCGTGTTGAAGAAAGTGAAGAAAACGTTAACTGGTAAAGGGAAAGGTAAGCTTGTTTATTCACCAATCATAATACAACATCTGATTAGTTTTGCATGATTATAAACTTTCTATGTCAATCAGCAGTAGTGGGATTTGGATGTGAGTTCGTAAGTTACGATTTTGAATTACGGAAGTTAATGAATCACTTGCTGCAAGGGAATTACCCCTAAATCCGGGGAAGACCGAGATTATGTCGTTCTTTATAAGCTTTCAGCATTTTAATTTTCTGCTGTATCATCATATTTCTTTCACACGGATAGTTTCCAGTGTCACCTAGTCGATGGGTCAAACATGGAATACTTCCCTTCCCCCTTCATGAATTACTTACCTTTGCATGGGTGTGGTGGGGGTTGGGTAATTCCGTGTCAGACTAGGGACTTTCACGACCTTTCCCCCATCCTTTCCACTTTTGACAAACTAGGGTTTGTCACGGTATTCTACACTTCAACATATGGAGAAGTGTAGAACTCAGTACAGAATGACAACAGTGGAAAGGATGGTGAAAAGGTCGTGAAAATTCCTAGTTTGTTTCGCTATTCTACACTTTCATGCATAGAAAGGTGTAGAATTATATCAAAGTGTAGAAACCAGGGATTTCAAGGACACTTCTGGAGATTAATGAACTTTTTTTGTCACAAAAATTACAACTGACAGAGGGTCACATATACTTGCACCTCTGCGAGATGTGTGATTTATTTCCAGTGCTCAATATTAAAAGCCATTCTTTATGGGGAGCAGGGATGGCACAGTGGTGAGAGCACTCGCCTCCCACCAATGTGGCCTGGATTCAATTCCGGCCTGGTGCCATACATGCATTGAGCGTGTTGTTGGTTCCTGCCTTGCGAAGGTTTTTCTACAGGTTTTTCGGTCTCCTTGCTCCACAAAAACCAACATCTCCAAATTCCCAATATTCAACCAGGATAACAAGAGGACCCACATGAAAACCAGCTGAGGCTGATGTGGCTCATCAAACTCTCTAAATGTTGAAATTTATTATTTTTTATTTTTTTAGAAAAAAATCTGTGTGTTTGAATGCAAATTGGTATGATGGTAGAACTATATAGCTGTCATGTGGCTCTGTTGTTGCTCTATACAATATTTTACGATAACTGCAGAAATTCTTGCACGCTCTTTGGCTGACTTTCATTGTCAATAAGCAGACAGACACATGATTTTATAATTCATGCGATGCGTCAAGGGGCTAGAGCGGACAATTTGACAATTTGTTATCGTAAACAACAAATTGACATCAGTTTTTCATGGGTCTGTCCTGTTATTAACAATGAATTTTGTCATAACAATGTCAAAGTAGCTAGTCTGTGGATCCTCTTGGCTATCGCCTCATGGATCCACAGCTACTTTGACAATGTTATGATGAAATTCATGATCAATAACAGGACAGACGCATGAAAAACTGATGTCATTTTTGTTAAGTTTGATATTTTTTCAATGAGGTTTTCTCTCTTTTTGGAGAGGCACTGACAGTTTCACTAAAGTGAAACCATTATACTGTTGTATAGTGAAACCTGTATTTAAGCGGACTTCATATTAAGTGGACACCCTCTGCAGGGCTCGAGACTAACGGTAGCCAGCTAGCCACAGACTAGTAAAAATTCCATTTTGACTGGTGGTTTTTTGGGCTTCACTAGCCATTTTGGCTAGTGAAAATGAAAATTTGCGAGCACTGAAGGCCCAGAGGAAACCAATCAAAAGTTAATTTAAAATTTTTCACAAAACGAAATCTAGTCAAAGTGTGCAGAATTTAAAACATCGGCTGTAGTAAATATCATATATAATTTATTGGCCCAAACAAGAACTTTAAATTACTAAAATGCAGAGGAATGATCGACTTTTTTGTTTGTTTTTCTCTTAGTAAAAAGCGACAAACAACAAAAATTTGCTTGCTGCTAATGATAAGCCATGCGTGAAACCATGTGGAACTCTAGGGATCATGTTTCATGCGTGCAGCATCTGGAGGTCACGTACGCTTTCAAAAAATTAAAAATTTTGCATTTGTTTGAAAATTTGAAAATGTAATATCGATGTCTATGTTTGCAACTTGTAAATAAAGATGTTGTGTTCATAAGAAATCATGAATTGGCATTTTGAAAGAAAGGAATGTTTTTCGGCGGTGAGTTGTGAAATTCTGTGGGAATTTCTCACGGAAGCGAAAACTTCAGTTTTTGTTGTTGAGCGACTCCTATAATTTTAACATCGATTCCTATGTTTGCAAGTGTCTGTGTCTGGCTAGTGAAAAATTTGTTTTGGCTAGTAAATCAAACCTGTCACTACCCACTGGACTAGCAAGCTGAAAAGTTAGTCTCAAGCCCTGCTCTATTAAGTGGACACCAGCTGAAGTCTCAAAATTTTCTCCCCACACTTACTGTAAAATAAACCTGGATTCAACAGACACCTGCTTAGCAGACACAGACAGCACTATTAAGCCATTTTGTTACACAAAACCTGCAATAAGCGGACACTTCAATAGCTTTTTACTTCTAAAAACTCTGCTCAGACTCCTTTAACATTGTTCAGTGATGTCATTTTAAAGCTAAGTTATTATTCCAGGTTGATGTATAGATCGTTTTCACGTGACGTCATCACTTTCTAAAATCCAAAACGAAAGAGCCACCAAAGTTTTTGTCCTCATCAGGCACAAGAGGCGGTATATTTATATCTGTTTACAATTTTACACCTCAGTAGCGTGCTTCGCTTGGAATCCAGAGCATTTTGAATTTCAGGGTTATGGAGGTGCGTGACACAAGGCTATGATCGAGTTTGTTGAAAAATATATACTTATCTCATGATTTTGAGCCTTTTTAGAAGTTAAAACATTAGGAAAAGTGCTTATGTAAATGCTTGTTTGATCAGTACTGATAATCAGTCACCTAGATAGCCAAAATCAGATGTTACATTATTTTCCGGCCGCCATATTGGTGTACCACGGAGGTACACCAACATGGCGTTTTCATACTGGGCTCTGTAAATGTTGGCGAAACATTTCGACGAATATCTGAAGTTTGGGGAAACGCACAGGCCTAAAACTTGGAGAAGTGGCTTATTTAGTTATCTTCTATAACATCATAATTTCATAGCTTTTTCCACTGGATGGTTTTCGATTTATTTTTTTATTGCGTGACAGTGAAAACAATCTATTGACTGACTTGACATGCATTCTCCTATGAGCAGTGTTTGATCTCACACTGTGTTACACTGTGTTCCAAAACAGTTGATAATTAACTATTATTGCACAACATATTAGAACCTGTTTTGAACAGACATCCTGAGTTAAGTGGACACTGGTGAGGGTCCCAAGGGTGTCTACTAAATACAGATTTCACTGTATTGTGTTATTAAAACCAAGGCTACTTTTTATTAGGGGTGGATAGAAGTGGCAACTGGAGGTGGGAAAGATGAGGGAGGCAGCAGGATTCTTGAGGTGGCAGAAGAGGGGAGAAACAAAAAATAGTGTTGCAAACAAACATTACTTGACAGTGTATTATGGAGCAAATAGAGATAGGAGCCACTAGGTGAGGGATCAGGGAACTGAGAGTAAAGGTCTGGGAAGTGGGAGGTAGACTCCCTGTATTCCCTTGTGGTCAGCTATTAGTTCTGGAAACTGAGTCCCACTTGGCTTAAATATTACAGACTTACAGGGGTACAGTTAACTAGGTTATTTAATCTTTATGTGGTACATAATTAAATGTTTTTAAGGAAAAAGGCGAGATGATAATACTAAAGAAGATGAAGAATCTGAATCTTTGCCAGATGTGGTGAGCGAAGCCCATAATAAGAATGCACCAATTTCCCAGCCATCTACGTCAAGTCAGAAATCATCTGTTGGCTCAAAAAAGAGTGATTTGAAATCAGCTGGAGGTAGTTTAGATTCAGAACTGTCTCGTCTGAACTTACAGGATGATTTTGATAAAAAAGTTCTCAAAGCCTTTCAGGGTGGAGTGGTTGCTGCTACTGCTCAAGCATGTGGAAACAATCATCAAGGTGCATCAGGTGTTTCTAGTAAACCTCCAAATCCTGACAGTGGTACTTCTAGAGATGGCATCACCCGCAGTGAAGAAACTCAAACCCAGGTGCAGAACGTGCCTGAACCTGCTGATACTGATGGAGAAGTCCCTACAGATCCTAACAGTGACTCTTCTGGAGATTGCCTCACTCACAGTGAACAAGCTCACTTCCAGGTGCCAAACATGTCTGAACCTGCTAATACTGACAGAGGAATCCCTACAGATCCTAACAGCGAAGCTTCTGGAGATTGCCTCACCCACAGTGAACAAACTCACACCCAGGTGCCGAACATGCCTGAACCTGCTAATACTGATGGAGGAATCCCTACAGATCCTAACAGCGACACTCCTGTAGATGACGTCACCCACAGTGAAGAAACTCACCCTCAGGTGCTAAATGTACCTGATCCTGTCAATGCTGATGAACTTGTCAATCCGAATTCTAACAATAAAGTGTCTAGAGATGATCACAACCATGAGAGAAATGCTGCTATTGCTGCAAGGACTGAGGCTCCTAATCTTAGCCAAGATGCAACAGTCTCTGTTGCTGCAGCTGCTGCTGCTGTAGAAACAGTACCCTTACATCCAGATGGAACCAATTTACAGAGTTTGACTAGCACTCCTATCCAGGAGGAAGCAGTAGACACAGTTGATGAAGGTGCTGCTA